GTGTGCTACCATGTCTGGCTCAGTTTGCCAGCTTTATGAGATACTAAGTATAGTTAGCCTGTATTCCAGAAATTCTCCCTCCTAGGTGTGTCTACTCAAGAAGATGAACATATATATGTACACCCAGACTTGTACATTAATGTTTACAGTAGCTGTCTTCATAATTGCCTCCAAAAATGGAGCCAGTCAGATCTCTCTCAATGGTAAATAGATTAATACAAGGTAGTGTATCAGCCGGGCCTGGTGCTGCATGCTCTTAATCCAACACCTGGGAGGCAGTGACCAACCTGATCTACATAGTGAGTTTCTCTATAAAATCAGGAAAGAGAATATGCCCACCATTACTACTGTTATTAATTGGTGTCATGGTTAGGATGGTACAATAAAAGAAAAATCATCCTGTATGTGTATGGATTGGAAATTTAATATTCACAGATTATGTGACTTGCAGGTATTGACAAACTTTCTGTGAAAGACCAAGTAAAGAAATATTTTCGCTTTTGATAGTGTGTGGCTTCTGAGCAGCCACACGGGATCAATACATAAGTTTGTATGGCTGTGTTCATGCATACTGTATAAAAATAGCCAGTGGACCAGGTTTAGTCCATAGCCATAGCTTTCCAACCTCTTATCTATACCCAAAAAAGAAAAAAAAAAAAAATCCTAGGAAGTCTTCAGAAAAATAATCAAATTAGTAAGCATAACCAAAATTGTTAGATAGGAATTATGGGAAAGTATGGAATGTCCTAAAAAAGAAAAAAAGAACCCCCATAATAATCTAGCAGTTTCTCCACTAGGTACACACCCAGCTGCTAAAGATCTGTACTCACTCACTCATTGTACAGAATCCAGCAGATGAGTGGATTTTTAAAATGTGGTACATACACACATAATATTATTCAGCTCCTTAAAATAAGGAAATCTTTTTCAGCAACATAAATAAACCTAGTGGACACATCTTAACTGAAATAAGCCAAACATGAAATGACACATTAGAAAAGTAGTCTTGGAGAAGCAATGATTGGAATAATGATAAGTACCTAATGAGCTGAAAACTGGTGCACAGGGAAAAGGTTGGTCAGCAGATATAAAATTTCAATTAGGGACAGCAAATAGTGGCCGTTGTTAATAACAGTGTGTAATACTTGAAAATCCCTGAGAGAGGGCCTTGGTAGCCTTTAATCCCAGCACTTAAAAAGCAGAGGCAGGTATAGCTTTGTGAGTTCAAGGCCAGCCTAGTCTACATAGTGAGTTCCAGAACAACTTGGGCTATGTAGAAAGATACTCTCTCAAAACCAAAAATAAAAAAATAAAAAAGATTCTTGAAAGTATATAAAATAATACATAAATTAATTATTAGCAAAACAATGTAAACATTTCAAAACATGTTGTGGGCTGGGAATGTAGCTTAGTAGTAGAGTACAAGTTTAGTATGTGCAAGCCCCAGATTTGTTCCCTGGCACCACAAAAAAGAAAAATGATGTTGTATACTGTAAGAGCACACAATTTTCATATACAATTTTTTTATTTATTTGGTAATTTGTTTTTATTTGTGTTCATTGATGTTTTACCTGTATGTATGTCTGAAGGTGTCAGAAGCCCTGGAATTGGAGTTATAGACAAGTGTGAGCTACCATGTGGGTGCTGGGAATTGAACCCGGGTCCTCTGGAAGAGCAGTCAATGCTCTTAACTAATGAGCCATATCTCTAGCCCCTCATACAATTTTGTACACCACATTTTACTCAATTAAAAATAACTAAAGACTGGGTGGTAGTGGCACATGCCTTTAATCCCAGCCTCAGGAGGCAGAGGCAGGTAGAGCTCTTGAGTTCAAGGCCAGCCTGGTCTACAGAGCGAGTTCTGAAATAGCTAGGGATACTCAGAGAAATCCTGTATTGGAAAAAAGCAAAACAAACAAACAAAAACAACTGAAGATTACTAGGTATAAGATAATGTACAAATCATGTTCCTATTTTCTTGTGTGAATTATCCTTAAAAATAGTTTAAATTTTTTCTTTTTTGTTTTATTGTGAGACAGATCTCACTTTGTAGCCCAATTTATCCTTGAGCTTGCTGTCTTCTTGCCAGAGTTAGTATATAGGCATATATGCCTGTACTTTGGAAATGAAGTTTATATGTGTGTTTCATATATAGACTTATACGTATTCACAAATATAAATACATAAATTTTAGTTGGTTTATTTGAGTGGTATTTGTTTTTTGTTTTTGAAATAGTGTCTTACAATTCACAGTGGCCTCCAATTTATGCTGTAACTGGGCATGACCTTCAACTCCTGATCCTCCAGCCTTACCCTTCCAAAAGCTGTGATTATAAGCATGTGCCACCACATCTAGATTGTTATATATAACGTGAGATGGGGTTTCACTGAGTCACTAAGACTGGCCTGGAACTTACTATGTAGACCAAGCTAGTCTCTAACTCTAGGTCCTCTTGCCTTAACCTCCTAAGTGCTGGAATTATGTCTCCACATGAAGCTACAGTATATAATTTCACAGCAAATGGATAGCCTTTATGTTAATTGTAAGACCTACATTTAAGTCTTCATAATATATAAATAAAACCTATAGATAAGAAGACTCAAAAACTATAATAATCCTAGGAGCAGTAGAATCTCAGCAAGTTTATTTCCAGTTTGGTCTACATAAGTTCCTGGTCAGTCAAGGCTAAATAGTGAGGCCCTGACTCAACCAAAGTGGGTGGGGCTGGAGGTCAAACATAAACTTAATGATAGGAAAATAGAAGAACTTAGGCAATAGAATTTTAGAAGCTGGGAGACAGGTAGATAAATGGCAATTAATTTAGTAATGGCAGTTTCACTCAAGAAGTTCAAAACAACTAAATCCTAGGTCTGGAGAGATGACTCAGAGTTTAAGAGTACCTACTGCTCTTCCAGAGGATCTGAGTTCTGTTCCCAGCACTATGTCAGGTGGCTCACAGCTGCAGTAACTACAGCTTCAGGGGATCCAACGCAACTTTTTGGCTTCCCCAAGCACCTCCATGCATGTGATATACATACACATGCACGTGCACACGCACACACGCGCGCGGACACACACACAAATAATGTTAAAAAAGAAAACTAAATCCTAAGTTACAGAGGGAAAAGTTTAAAATTTTAGTTTACCAAGAATTCTCAGAAACCAAAGGGATTGGCAACTCTGAGTATCCTGTACCGAAAGGGGTAGCTAAAGTAGAGATTTGCATGAGAAACATTTAAGAACTTACTACTCTCCACCCCTTCTAATGGGCATCATTTTTTAAAAAATATATTTTTATGATTTATTTTTATTTTGTGTACATTGTTGTTTTGCCTATATGTATGTTTGTGTGAGAGTGTCAGATCTTAGAGTTACAGACGTTGAGCTGCCATGTGGGTGCTGGGAATTGAACCTGGTTTCTTTGAAAGAACAGTCAGTGCTCTTAACCGCCACACCATGTGGCGGTTTCTATTTCTGCAAAGAGGGCAATATAGAAAATAATGCCATATTGAAAGATGCCAGAAATAGTTGGAGGCTTCAGTGCCTTGCCAAAACCAAGGTGACTGAGTGGTAATGCACACTAAATGTTGAGCTTACTTAGACATTTTTAGTTTCTTTCAGTTGTTGCCTCCAAAGATCTAAGTACTAAGAGCTTTCTCAGAAATGGCTTCATCCTGCCCTGTACTCAGTTCCCAGTGGCTTGAATCCCTTGCTCTTAAACTATGAGCAGGCATCCAATGATAATCAGATGATTGAGGAAAACTTGTAATAAAGGAAACATAAGTACCAAGTTATTTGGAGGATAGAGAGACAACATGGGGAGAATAAAACAAAATAACTTGTTACCCATATTCTCTTCTATATAATACTTGAGTGCTTGAAGCAAAAATAAGATACAGTAGAAAGAGAAGCTTTTTAACAGACTAATACTGTTCAGCCTCTGGGTAATGAGCCACAGCTCTTCATTTAAAAATTTTCAATGTGTTTTGACAAGGAAGCTCAGTGGGTAAAGGCACCTGATACCAGGTTTTAATCCTTGGGACCCACATGGTAAAAAGAGAGAATAAATTCCTGCAGGTTGTCCTCCACAAGTGTGGTTATTACATGGTTCATGACTTTTACAATAACCAAAACAGGAAATTTAAAAAGAATGAAAATCTATCAAAGAGACTAGGTAGACAGATCTTGAAAAAGAACCAAATATAATTGAGGAAGCAAAAAAGGTTGGATTGTGTCTCATTGGTAGAGTGCATGCTTAGCCTGCTAGAGGTGCTGGGGATTTTTCCCCCACAAACAATTTAAAAGACTAAATTAGATAGTTGGGTAGATAATTAAAAAGTTACCAGGGCACAACATAAAGAAATGAAGAAATAAGAAAGATGAATGAATAGAGTCATCAAATGTGAATGATCCAAACATCTAGATCTGCAAAAGAATAGAGGAAATGCGTGAGAGGCAATATTGATAGTGACTAAAATTTTCAGAATGTTTGAATAATACAGATAATAAGATTTAGAAACTTATGAATCTCCATAAAGATAAATAAAAATCTAAAGTCTTATGTGTCAAAGAAAAATTACAGGATTCTAAAGACAAAAAGATCAACCAAAGGAAGTGGAGAAAAAATATTTTATCCTAAGTAACAGGCTGATAGCAGACTGACAAACAGCAACTGTGAAACAATTTCCTCACATTCATAGAGGAGCCATCATTATCCTTATGTTGTATACTCAGTGAAACCTTCGGTCAAAAGAATGAAAGACGTGAGAGTTTACTTCAATAAAGTTTTGCTTAAAAATTGTGAAGGTATACTCAGGAAATGATCTCAAAAAAAAAAAAAAGGGGGTCAGAGATTAAAATGGGGTGGTAAGTAAAGCAGCATAAAGTGTATGTGTGAAGTATTCATCAGTTCTCTGCTCTGCTTTAAGAGTAAAGCAATTGGTCTGCTACCAAGAGCCATTATACCTGTAGTAATACTAGGTGTCTGATTTCTTATTAGGTGCACAGAAGATGGGTGTCCACATAAGAAATTCTTTCATACACGTTTTCTCATGCGAATGAGATTAACACCAGATTGTTCCAAAATGTTGATCTCAACATCCTCTGGATATCTTTTGATTTTGCATGATCTGGACTTAACTAAGTCTTTAGAAGTAGGCAGCTATCCCATTTTGAGAGCAAGAAGAACTACTTCAAGTTCAGGTAAGATTTTCTGGTTAAAACATTTAAGAGGTTAAAGCTCTTCCTCAGGAAGCTTACTTGTAGCTTTCCAAGGACATTCAATGAACTGTGTGTACCTCTAACAACAGTAACGTGAACCTCTAGAAAGAGTCTTATCTCTAAAAGCTATTTGATTTCTACTAGTCAAAGAATTATGGCTCAGTGGATTAAGGCTCTGGCTGGTGATAATCGACTTAAACTTAATGAGAAAGTGATTTAGAAGATGCAGTTGACCAATTTTTTTAAGGTTTGAGTCACGGTTTCTCTATGTGGTCCTGGGTGTCCTGGAACTCAGTAGGTAGACCAACCAGGCTGGTCTCAAACTCAGAGATCTACCTGCCTCTGCTTCCCAAGTACTAGAACTAGAGGTGTGTGAATAACACCCCTCAAGTTGTCCATTCTTGACTGAAATACCAAAAACTTGTCCAGTTTCCTAAGGGTGGTGATTCTAGTAGCAAATGTCACAGGGAGTCACTGGGTGGTTGGTGGTGCCTGAATGCCTTTATTCCAGCACTTGGGAGGCAGAGGCATTTGGTTCTCAGTGAGTTTGAGCCCAGCCTGTTCTACAAAGCAAGTTCCAGGACAGCCAGAGCTGTTACACAGAGAAAACTTGTCTCAAAAAGTAAATAAATAAGTCAGAGAGAGTCGGGCTGTCAAGGACTCCCTGGAAGTGGCCAGAATGCAGGGTGAGGTAACGTAACATACTCAGGTAGCTGATGCTCATTGTCCCACACATTTTCATTTTTTCTTCTATTTTAGAAATGTTAGAAAAGCAAAGATGTTTGCATGCTTATTTGGCTTTTTATCTTATTTCACACAAGTCTTTACTATGAAAGGTTTTAAAGAGAATGCAGACCCAAAACAGAACCATGAGCTGTTGTCTTCATCTTAGTTATAGTCCAGTTTACATGACTTTTTGTTGGCACATTTTAGGTGTATTTTAAAAGTTCAAGTAGATAATTAAAAAATTAAAAGATACTACAGGAGCTATACTAGGTTTATTTGTTGGTTTTCTTTTCAAGATTTGACCACTTCATCAAGTTCTTCTGGTTCTAGAGTTTCTGGTTCCCCTTGTCATCACAGTGATTCTAACTCATCTGAGAAACACATGTCACGAGCTTCTCAACGAGAAGGTAAGTTAAAAGCTGGGTTTACAATCTTACAGCAATAGATTCTATCAGATAGCTTTCTTTGGTTTAGTTTTAGTCCATAAACATAAAAACTAAGAAACAGTCGTCGTTTGAGAAGGCCAACCATCTTGTGCTTTAACCTTGATGGAAGTGTTGGTTTTATTGCCCTGGCCCAACCTTGGTCTAGTTTGAAGATGAAGTAGTTGGGAACTGTATTTAAGAAATGGAGAATCTTGATACTAAATTTCTAGGCTGCTTTCTTAATGACATCTGTGAAAATGGTTCCTTACATATTCTGATGAGAGGCAGTGGCATATTAGGAACTAGGCTGAAGGAAATGATGCAGCTTATAGAGAGTCACCAGGAAGATGTCTCTCACCCTTGTTTTATATCTACTATAGTATGGGTAGAGGCTTGCAGTTATTTAACTTATAATTTTTCCAGTTTCACAGTGATATAAAGTGGCATGCATTCAACAGAAACCAAACTTCACATTTTGAATTTTGATGTTTTTCCCAGTGAGCAATATGCATAACTTTTTCTCATGGTTCTGGAAAGTAACAGGGCATCTTCCAATCAGCCACACTGTTATAAGAATAAACAGCTAATACTGTACAGCAAGCTGTCTCAGAGCTGTGGTATCTAGTGGGTTGAGTGTATTGAATGCATTACAACCAAAATATTTTCAACTTTGGATGAGTGTGTTAACCCCAGTATAAAGGAGCATCTGTACTGTCTTTAGGGGCATAAGTCCTGATCTTTTTCTAAAAGGCAGTTCTGGATTCCAAGTATTTTCTTCTTTGGTCTGTAGACCAGTAAGTGCTCTGAGTTGAGAATTGTGAGCTTAATTTTGTAGATTCTTCTTATACACATGACTTCAGTTCTTAAATAAAGAGACTTTTGAGATAAAGATCCAATGGAAAAAGACCCCACTCAGCTTTCATGCCTCAGATTACTTGTTATTCCTGCTGCAAAATTCACATAATTTGGGGTTAGGGCAGCCAATCATGTTTTATGTGTGGTATAGTGTAAAGAGCAAACCTAAGGGATGAAAGCAAGAAGGTGGTTGCCAGGAAACAGTTCTGCCTTAGTCCTAGGATAACAAAAATCCAAAATCTTTAATTTTTTTTGTATCTCAGGAGTTTCTCCACGAAATAGTCTTGAAGTCTTAACCCCTGAAGTTCCTGGTGAGCGAGACCGTGGAAACTGCATCACATCATTACAGCTGCACCCCAAAGGCTGGGCCACCCTTCTTCGGTGCTCAAGCAACACTGATGATCAGGAGGTATAGACTACAGCACTTCCCATTCAGCAGGTCATGGGACAATTTGCCCTTGCCCTATGTGCAGATCTTAGGCTGCTAACCAGGCTCAGTCCCTGCCCACAGGGCATACTACTAAAGCCTTGCTTCTCAACTCCTCTACCTCCCCTCTGTTGCTTCACCCCTTACGGTCTCTTCTTCCTCTCCTGTCTTGGTGTAGTGAGCTGAGAAGTGCTTTAAAGGCCACATCAGCTGATATTATGCCTAGCTTATTCATCCTTGCCCCCATCATGAAAAACAAACAAACAAATAAACAAAAAAAAAAAAAAACAAGGAAAACCATGTTACATGTTACACTAAGCTGTAAATGTGAGGTTTAGGCATTAGTAAGACAGTTATAGTCACTGTGTCTTTAAAATCCAGGGGAAACTGAGAAAGAAAGGGGCTAAACTGATGCCTAGAGGAAGAGTTAAAAGACCGTAGGTTCATCTTAGCACTCAGGAGGCAGAGTTGGAAGCCAGTCTGGTCTACAGAGTGAATTCCAGGAGAGCTAGGGATACATAGAGACCCTGTCTGAAAAACAAACAAAAGACTTTAGCATCTCACCACTGTGGTAGCCACAGGAGTCTACAAGGAGTTCACTGGCTCTACAGACCAAACTGAAGGAAGGCAGAAGGGTCTTTGAAGTATGCAGAGGGCAGACGTACTCTGAGCCCTGGATTGTTGCTGCCCTCAGAAAAGGAGATGTGTTACTCCCAAAGTCATAGCCAGCCTCAGGAACGAGAGGTCTTAAAGCATTATAGCACACCATAACTCTAGCTTATGAAGATAAAGAAAGTACACATTAGGTGAGAAGAGTGATACTCATCTAACTGATTTCTAGCAACACTCCTGTGGTTTTGGCTCTGTTGAGAAATGAAGAGTATCTCTGAGTACTACTTGGGGGTCTATAACCTCGGTTTTCTCCTTTCTCCTCCAGTGGACTTGTGTCTATGAATTCCAAGAAGGAGCTCCAGTGCGACCCGTGTCACCTCGCTGTTCCTTGCGGCTGACTCATTACATTGAAGAAGCCAATGTAGGCAGGGGCTACATCAAAGAACTTTGCTTCAGCCCTGATGGACGAATGATTTCTTCCCCACATGGCTATGGGATTCGCTTGTTGGGATTTGACAAACAGTGCAGTGAGCTTGTTGACTGTTTACCCAAAGAAGCCAGTCCTCTACGGGTGATTCGTTCTCTGTACTCTCATAATGATGTGGTCCTGACAACAAAGTTCTCTCCAACACATTGTCAGATTGCCTCAGGGTGCCTTAGTGGACGGGTCTCTTTGTATCAGCCAAAGTTTTAGGCACAACTTACATCAAATAAGGAACTCTTCTGGTGTTTGGCTTATGAATTACTTCAATTTAGGTGAAGTATTTTCTTTTTTAGAAGATCTTATAAGTTTGGGTCAAGATCTTGTTCTTATAGGTTGGTAAACACACATGTGACCCAAGTACTTGGCCATCTGGCATCATCTGGGCATCTCCATTTCGACCATGCAGCATCGTTCTGTCAGCATTCCTTTGCTCCTGTTGTCTGTGCCACTGAGCTTGGGTTTTCCTGGTCATTTTGCATGTGGCTCTTGTTCTCTCTCCCATCTCTGTTTCTACCACTCCTCCCTGCTTCCCCTCCTCGTTTTTGATTTTGGTATGAATTTTGTGGACATTTGACAAGAGTCGTGGTTGGGATGAGGAAAAACCCATGACACCAGTACTAAATAAAACCCAGAAACTGGATGTTGGCACACAAGTTGTTGAAAAAAGAAAAGTTCATCTTCATTTATCAGTACACTTGGCCTTTAAAGTTGCTGTCAAATATTGAGCACAGATAATGGTGTTATTCTCATAACTGAAACTCTTACAACAAAATATCTTTTTTAAATTTCCTGTTAAAATTACACAAATTAATTCATGAGAATTTTTTTTGTTGTGAAATTCTAGAAAAATACTACAACCTCTTTGTAATTTATTTTACTTGTATGAATTTAAAATCTCCAGCATGTGTCTTTGTTATTTTGTTCCTGTTCCTAGCGTTGGAAAGGAAAGGAAAAGGAATAAGGTGGGCACTTCTGTTGTCCAGAAGAGTTCTTCATTAGTTTGATGCAGTGTCTGGCCATAGAGTAAGAAGATTAACGTGGCTTAGGTTGGCTGTGATTCTTCGAATCACACACATGAGCTGTTCCTAGTAATGGGATGGAGGGAAAGCAAAGATTTTATTGTCGTTGTTCCTTCAGCCAGAGATCATAAACTCAGCTCTCACCATTAGTAAGAAGGGAGCTGTAGTTCTTTTGAAGCTGTTGTCATAAAAGTGATGGTCTGACTTATGTAGCACTGTCTTATGTTTTGTTATGGAAAGTATCAGGCAAGGTGTGAAAGCAAGGTTACTCCTGTCTTGAATAGGCAATATCCTTCCAGTCTCTGCTACATTGAGTGGCACTGTGTAGAGATACGCTAGAAGCTGAACAATTTAAGCCATGCAGTAACCTTGCTCTCTTTGGTCACATGCCCTTTAAGCCAGTGTTTCTCAAATATGAGGATGCAGTATAATCTTGAAGGATTTGTGAAAAATGCAGGAATCTGTGCCTGACCTTAGAAGACTGATTTAGGCAGGGAAAGGACAGAATTCTATTCAAACTGAACCATAATCATCTGTTATCCAGGTGGCCTCCAGATCATAGCTTGAAAACACAACCTGAAATTGCAGTAGGTATTTCTGTATCCATTTGGTGCTTAACATAATTCCCACAAGATGTTTCAACTATTTAAATAGTAATAATAATAAATCAACAATAGCAATTTTAGGGCAGCAAATAACTTGAAGTGGTATTCATTTTATTGTTGAACAAATGAAAGAAATTAAATGATTTGCCTAAGATCATACAATGGTAGTGGTAAAGTCAGGGCTTCAATTCAAGTCTCTTAATTCCTTGCTCAGAGCAGTTTCCACTGTATTATGCTGGCTGTTAAAAACATCAGCGACTATGGGGCATTTTGTCTTTAGATTATATTGTTGTGAATAAAATGATCGGTTTGAAGAAGGCAGGTATGGCAGTAGATGCTGAGAGTTTTATCCATAGGGGGGAAAAAAAGGTATTTTAATACTTACAGAAATTTTTAAATAGCCCAAATACATGAATATGTACACAGTTCTTTATAGTGTCCATTAGCCACTCTGGGACAGTCTTTAAAAATTAGATCTTCTTATAATAGATGTTGGAAAAGCTGGGAATTTTGTAGTCATTGAAAAAACAAAAAAGCACACTAAAAATCATAGGCTTGCTTCCATAGCTTTGAAAAAAATTTCCCCAAAGAGAATAGTTTAGGAGGAAAATACTACAATTAAAACCATCACAATTAAAAACTATTAAGTTTAAAGATTAAACTGACATTCAAAAGAAGATCCCATGAATATTAACCGTTTGGAAAGAGTTCTGTGTCAGATGGTATACCCTCGCGTCACCTAACTCAAGCCAGGGATTCTTGAGTCACTGTTTTTGAATACCTACTATGTGTTAAAGAATGTGTCTGCTTTGCCATGGCCCCTACAGAGACAAGGTAGGTGGAGTGAGCCTCAAATCATGTTGAAGATAGCAGTGGGTCAGAAAAGTCAAATGACTTGCTTGAAGCCACAGTGGGCAGAGGGGCAGCACTGGATGCAGACCCAGGTTTGCCTGTTCATTTTATCACTAAGTCTGTACTTACTCCTCCACCGTTTTGCCCCTTAGTTCATGAAGGATGAGTTACATTGATCTGTTCATTTATATGCTCAGTATCTTCTGCTAATTTTTATTACAAGGCTGGCCTCATTCCCTTCACAACTGCATAAAAGAACATTTCAAACACTGATGTTTCCATGAGACTAAAGATCTTAACCCCAGGCATACATGTGAAAAATAAGCAGGACAAGCACCTGTGATTTTGGAAAAAAAAAGTAGAGGATAATCAGCCTTGTGTGAAAGCAAAGCCACATAGATGAGAACTGAAAAGAACCAACAAACATAGCAGGAAACCTTTGCCCTCTCTGAAGTATAGTCAAGGGTCAAGACAAAAATCATTATTAACCAAGAACTGAAGGACCTCAGAAAACCTGTACTATTGGAAAAAGTTGCATATTAACCATCTTAAGGGCCCATTTTTAACAATCTAAAAATCTAGTATTTTTTACTGTTTTAGTAAATCATTTTTATTATAATTGGTAGAAGTATATTATAATTGTTAATGAAGTTATTATTGTTGGAAAATCTTGCTAAGTAAGTCATTCTGGCTAAACACTTCCTTCAGAACATCTATTAATCGAAATGCTATGTTGAATGACTTAGGTGCATCAAATATACAGTAGTTGCTTTTTTCAATCAGGAAATGAAGGGCTAAAATAAGAGACTTAGTTTTCAAAAATGTGTGATCATGGGGCTGGAGAAAGGGGTCAGCAGTTAAGAGCACTGGTTGCTCTGCCAGAGGCCCAGGTTCAATTCCCAGCACCCACCTTGCAGCTCACACCTGTCTGCAACTCCAGTTTCAGGGTTTGACACACAGACATACATACAGGCAAAACACCAGTGAACATAAAAATTATTTTTAAAAAAGTGTGATCACATCTGGGGGTGGTGGTACACGCCCGTAATCCCAGCACTGGGGAGGCAGAGGCAGGCAGATACTCTGAGCTTGAGGCCAGCCTGCTCTACATAGTAATATCCCAGGCTAGAGAGTGAGACCCTGTTTACTTTTAAGTGTTGTCTTTTTTTCTTAAAGCCCAAATCATATGTACATTTTGTTATTTCTCCCTGTTGTATCCCTCAGAAGAAGCCACAACACAAATTTTAAGGAAACAACGCAAGAAAAAGATAAATTTCATGTTTCCCTACTCCTGTACCTAGGACCAAATCACCTCATAGAATCTTGAAGGTTGTTGTTCTAGAAGGTGAGTACAGGGAAAACATCCCAAGAATCTCTTAGAAGACTGGTATGTCTCATGTTAGTGTATGCAGCATTATGTCTGTAAGCGTCTGTTACACTTTGCTTTTAGTTTGTTTTATTCAAGACAAGGTTTCTCTGTGTAGACCTGGCTATCCTGGAACTCACTTTGTAGACCAGGTTGGCCCCTAACTTAGAGTTCCCTTTGCCTTTGCCTCCTAAGTGCTGAGATTAAAAGCATGCACCATCATGCCAGGCTTTCATTTGGCTTTTATAAAAGCAAGAGATATGGCCTGGTAACTTCCTGTTGACAATCATCCTCATTCAGTGACCAGTGGTCCTTGGGTGCTCTATAGGTCCACTTAGTAACACCTTCTGTTGGTCATGAAGGAATCCATATATATGAATTCTGTTTGGATAACTAATGCATATCTCTTAAGTGCCAAAATTTTAAATTTGTAGTTATTTTTGATGCTAGTCTCTTAGATATGGTAGTCTACCTCCTCGCCTTTTTAAGCAGCATGCTCAATCTAATTCACTTTATCATTGTGAAATTACATTCATGATATGTTATTGTGAATACCCAATAAGCTCTGATACATGTAGAACATTTCCTAGAACACAAAGGGCTATAAGAAATGTGAGGAATATCTCTTAGTAAATGATTGCCTCAACTATGTAATTATTCTCCTCATTGTTAGCTTTTTAAAATAATGTATTGTGAAGTAATGTAGTCTGTCAACATGCCTGTTTCTAACAGGCTCCTACTTTCTTATGTGCTGTCTTCAAGTGGTGGGCTGTGACATGAGTTAACCAGTCCTGGTTGCTGCCTACTAAAATAATTGGGCAAACTCTGGGCACATAGTGAGGCAGCCCCTTTGGCTGTGTTCTACTTACCATCTGAATAATGAACCCCCAGTTAAAGGTGGGGGCTACTTTTCCATTTCAACTAGAATAAACTAGACCTGTTGCTGGATTAAAAACTACCACTGAACTGAAGCAGAGTATGGCGGCAACAACAGTTCTGCATCTGCAAGGGATCCTTACTGCTTCTAAGAACAGAAGGTGCAGAAGAGGAAGGAAGGAAAAGAAAGTTCCAGGTAGGCTAAAGACTATAGAGATGCCATTGAAACCACTGAAATGTATCCTTGATTATCACCTTAAAAGACACTGCAGAGTAAGAGCTCACTAACATCCACATCCTAGAGATAACGCCCAGTGATGTCCTAAGAATTGCTCCCATTCAAATAATAATGGAAATTATCACCAACAGGAAAATCTCCAGTTTGCCTTTATGCTACTGTCTTGAGTGGTAAATGACCTGATAGAGGTTTAATCAAAAGCCCCAAGGAGCATATCTTATGCACACATCTTCTGAATGTATGTATATATAAATCACTATAAGTCATACCCCAGGAGTGATAAAATCATGTTCAGGATTTAAATATAGTCACAGTCTTTAAGATAGGCCGAATCTGTAGCTTTCCCAAGGCTCTGGCTCATAAATGTCATGGCTTTTACACTAAACTCTGCTTGCTTGCTTGCTTGCTTGCTTGCTTGCTTGCTTGCTTGCTCTTCCTCCCTTCCTCCTCCTTCCCTCCCTCCCTCCCTCTCTCCCTCCCTTCTTCCCTTCTTTGATTGCTAATGTTAGGTTTGTATTTTTGGCAAGCTTGGAATATTCTAATTAATATGCCGTCAACCAGAACTCTTTCTCACAGGGTCTAAGGTGCTATTGGTCCTTCTGCTAGACTGTGCGCTCCTTGAGGGCAGGGCTATCTTCTTTATTCTGTATCCACGGTGCCTGGGAGAGGATCTGACAGAGTAGTTGTTCAATAAATACCTGTTGAATGAATCAAATGAACCTTCACTATGTGTGGCCTCAAGTTCTCATGAAGCCAGAATGTGATGAAAAAATTATTGAGCCCCAGATGCAGTATCAGGTGGCAGTTGTTGAGGTTTGGGAAGTCTTTGGGGGGGGTTGTTTAGGGGGTTGTTTTGTTTGTTATTAGCAGGCTATCTTCATCTGGGTATTTAATTTTGAGAACTACATTAGGGCTCTATTTTTTATTGAACATGAATTTGAACC